GGGTGGCGCAGTGGCTGTGTGTGATGCGGGGGCCGTGGCTTGTGTGAGTGGAGACCAAGGCTGGAGCAGGGTGGGAAGCCACTGTGAGCACGAGGGGCCCCTGAGGGCTGCAGTCACCCATGTCATAGGAGCAGCGTGGACAGAGCTCACATGGGTAGCACGGTGCATCCGGGGGCTTGATGGCTGTCTGCAGGCCGAGACCCTGGGTGATTTGACGGGCTGTGGTGAGAGGTCCTGAGAAGGGCCAGGGCTGCCTGGTGAGTGGGAAGCTGTGGAGCAGGGATTCTTACTGTGTTTTCAGTCAAGAACTCTTTTGAGAGTAAATGCACAACACGTTATGGTATTATTTCTTATTTTTATAAGAAACTTTCAAGGCGATATTGTACAGCCACATACAAAACCATTTAAAGTTTATCTTTTCCTCCTAAACTTGACCCGTTTTCAGTATCCCAGCTGGAAAAAGCAGGGGACAGTCACAGTATGGGCCCTGTTTATCTTCATGAGGCTAAAACTCATCTTTGGTGTCAGATCCACCTGAGGAGGTGGGAAGTGTGCTGGCTGATCTCCTAGTCCGTCTGGGTGAAGGAATTCATTGCGGAATAGAGTGTACGCGCATCTCCCATTGTCGTCGAGTCTGTTCCGACTCTAGCGACCCTATAGGACAGAGTAGGAGCGGCTGGTGGGTTTCCAAGGAGCAGCTGGTGGATTCAAACTACCAACCTTTTGGTTAGCAGCCATACCACTTAACCACTGGGCCACTAGGGCCTATGCTTCCTTAAAAATAAGTCAACTAGTCCTGCCAGGTGCCCTGTCGAGGCACCTTCAGTGATTCAGTGACGCGCAGGTTAAAGCAGTTGTCCACACCAGCCCATCAAGCACGTGGTAATGAAGCCGCTGGCCGTTTGTTAACAAGATCTCATGGGTGCCCATTAGATGTGCAGGCGCTCCTGTGGGTGCTTGGGCTATACCTGTGAGCAAAAGGTGAGACCCTGTCACCTTGCCGTGGGAGACAGACACGGGGAGGGCCTGTGTAAGTTAAGTGAGCCACATGCATGTGAGCAGGTGCTGGGTGCTGTGGAGAAAAGTGGTGGTGGGGCGAGCAGGAGCCCTGGGGGGGCAGGAGGTGGGGGTCCAGGGGCAGGGCAGGCCCTGTGGGAAAGGCCACAGTGCACGAGACAGACACCCCCTCAGAAAATAGGGTTTGAACCCTACAGCTGTGTGAGGTGAACTTTGAGTACCTCCTGTGTGCAGAGGTGTGATGGGGGCTGTGACTCTGACCAAGCTCCTCATGGTTGGTGGGTGTTAGAGAATGAATTGTGTCCCCCCCGCTAAAATACATATTGGACTCCTAACCCCTGTACCTGTGGACGTGATCCCGTTTGGGAATAGGGTTTTCTTTGTTATGTTGTGGAAGCCGTAGCTGTGTAGGGTGTCATTTAAAGCCCATCACTTTTGAGACATAAAAGGAGCAGATTAGGACAGAAGGAAGCAGCGCAGATGGGAGAAGGTAGACAACACGTGAAGATTGCCAGGGGAACCCAGGAACAGAAGCTGGAAAGAGAAAAAGACCTTCCCCCGGAGCGGGCAGAGGGAGCCTTCCTCTGGAGCTGGCGCCCTGAATTTGGACTTCTAGCCTCTAAACTATGAGAAAAGCAATTTTTGTTCATTAAAGTCACCCATTTGTGGCATTTCTATTGGAGCAGCACTAGGGAACTAAGACGGTAGGAGAAGACAAGTCAAATTGGGGAGGGTGGCACGGGTGCTGGGCAGCTTCACCTGGTTACTCAGGGGTGCAAGCAGGGACCCTGAACATCATCTAAGGCCACGGCCATGGGCTCAGCGGGCCGTGTTCATAGAGGGCTGTTGGGACTGGGCAGCTCTCAGCAGTCTGATAGTTTCTGTGTGAAAATAAATCAGAGAAGGTCTTCCACAGAATTGAACCAAACCGGAAATCAAACCCTTTGCCGTTGAGTGGATTCTGACTCATAGCGACCCTGTAGGACAGACTAGAGCTGCCCCATGGGGTTTCCAGGGAGCGACTGGCAGATTCAACCTGCTGGCCTTTGGTTAGCAGCCGAGCTCTTAACCACTGCGCCACCAGGGCTCCACAGTAATCAAAGGAAGGTAGAAATATCTCTGGTTCTGATTCACCCGGTATTTATTTACTGGGTGCTGGCTCTCGCATGGGTGCTGTATTGGGTCTGGGTGGCCAGCAGCGAGGGGCACATGCGGCCCTGCCTAAACTTATGTGGGTGCAGAGACACAGGTATCATTGAAGATGGTAGAAACTCCAAGCTCCAGAGGCCTCTCCAGGGATCTTGTGCCTAATGGCTGGGCAGGAGGCGCCTGGGGCTAGGGACAGGAAGAGCCCCAGGCTGGTTCCGTGCGGCTGAGAGGCAGGAAAGCCCCCACCTTAACCAGCTCAGGGCTCTAGGAGAACACCTGAGTGCTGGCGGGGAGGTGAAGGGCGAGTCCTGTGAGGTGGCAGGCCCCTCAGAGCCTCGGGAGGTGTTTGAGGGCCTACTCACAGAAGGGACCCTCTGTTTTGCGTTTCTAAAATGTGAAATGGAGGGTGGGTAGACTGGGGCAGGTGTTCTAGGTGGTAATAGAAGACAGAGTCAGGACGGGGTGTTTCAGGAAGAGGAGCAGGACCTGGCAAAAGGCTGTGTGACAGAGAGAAGCAAACCAAAACCAAACCCGGTGCTGTCGAGTCGATTCTGACTCATAGCGACCCTATAGGACAGAGTAGAACTGCCCCAGAGGGTTTCCAAGGCTGTAAATATTTACAGAAACAGACTGCCACATCTTTCTCCCGTGGAGCGGCTGGTGGGTTTGAACTGCCGACCTTTTGGTTAGTAGCCAAGCCTTTAACCACTGCGCCACCAGGGCTCCTGTGAGGGAGCAGAGGGAGGTGTCCAGAGGTATCACTGATGTTAAAGTCCACCAGTGTGGGCAATGGTGGTTCAGTGGTAGAGTTCTCCCCTCCCATGTGGGAGACCCAGGTTCGATACCCTGCCAACGCACCTCATGTGCAGTCACCACCCATCTGTCAGTGGAGGCTTGTGTGTTGCCATGATGCTGGACAGGTTTCAGTGGAGCTCCAGACCAAGATGGACTACGAAGAAAGGCCTGGCCATCTACTTCTGAAAATCAGCCAGTGAAAACCCTATGGATCACAACGGTCCAATCTGCAACCGATGATGGGGATGACGCAGGACCAGATACCAATCCATTCCGACGGCAGCTAACAGCAACAAAGCTCCCCAGTGTACAATTTGAAGTATTTTGACAAATATCTCTAGTCCTTAACTCCTAGCCCACTCATGATACAGAACATTCCGTCACCCAAGAAGCTCCCCACATGCTCATCTGCTGTCAGTCTCCTTCCCCTCAGCCCTGCCCCTGGCCACCACTACTCCACGAAGCTGCTTTTGCTCACTGGTTTTGCCTTTTCTCACGTTCCATGGACAGTGGAAGCTGGGTGTCTGGCTTCTTTGCCTTCACATCACACTCCTGTGCTGTTGTGGCTTCAGTAGTTGGCTCTTTCTAATTGAATTCATTGTATGGATGGATGGAGCACCTGTTGGTGGGCATTTGCTTTGTTTCCACCTTTTGGCTATTTGAATAAAGCTGCTTTGAATATTCATGATGTGTAAGTCTTTCTGCATATATTTGTGTTAGTATCACTTTTAAATAGAGAACTTTTATCAAGTTAAAGAAGTTTTCTTCTACTCTTCATTTGCAAATGAATCCCTGTTGCACTGTAGATTCCAACTAATAGCGACCCTATAGGACAGAGAAGAACTGCCCCATAGGGGCTGTAATCCTTACGGAAACAGACTGTCACATCTTTCTCCTCTGAGCATCTGGTGGGTTCACACTGCTGACCTTTCAGTTAGCAGCCGAGTGAGTAGTTAACCACTGTGCCACCAGGGCTCCTTAATTAAGAATGAGAAAGTATGTAATTTTGTCCCTCACCGTTTCAGAAAATGAAAGGAGAAGTTACCTTTCTCCTCTCTGAATGGTTCTTAAACCTCTTTGGCACTGAACGTTTTTTCTGTTTAAGTGGCGCAATGATTCTTTATAAAAAAAGAACTCTGTCACTTCACTGCCCTCTGGGAAGCCCTTCCATGGTGTCTTCATGTTGAGGAGAAATCCGCAGGCCTCAGGTGGCCTCAGGTGACAGGTGCTCTGGCTCCTGTGACTCCTGCCTTTGCTTAGTCACCCTGGCCTCACTGTGTCCCTTGATTGTGCTGAATGTTGTCTGCCTCAGGGCCTTTGTTCTTGCTGATCTCCTGCCCGGACATCCCTCTCCAGACAACTCAGCTACTCCCTGACGTGTGCGCGCAGCAGCTCCCGCCCGTCCGAGGTGGCAGCTGCTCCTCTGCCGCTTCCTTTATTCTGCCTGACCGTCTTCGTGTCTGTCTCAGTCTCCCGGGCCGCCATAACAAAATACCACAAAGTGAGCGGCTTTAAAGCTGAGAAATGTGTTGTCTCACAGCGCTGGAGGCGAGAGATTCGAATTCAGGGTGTCAGCAGGCCCACGCACAGCACTCTCTCGCGCGTGCGTTGTTCTCTGTCACTCTCTGCTCTCAGGGGGATCCTTCCTTGTCTTCTTTAGTTCCTGTAGCCCTGGGCCTTTCTTGCTGTCTGGTGAGCTGTGTCTGCTCCTGCCCGTGTGTCTGATGCCTGGGAGCTGGGCCTGGGCCCTCAGTGATGACGAACTGCCGTTGAGACCTACCCGTTTCTCTGTGTGAGATCCTAGTTTTTCACTGTCATGAATTTGTCTTTGTCTTTGGGTGGTTTTAAGAAGGTACATGAACAGACCTGTTTAAGTGAACGAGGTTTAAACGGCTAATGGGGGGGATGGGGGCGGCAAATACAGCGTGGATTGCACGTCCTCCTGGGCCTGCATGTCAGCGTGCTGTGGTGTCGCGGTGGAGTTGGCCCTCCTGTCTGTGCTGTAGATGGGTAACGCTGCTCTCTGGTTCCCTCCACAGGCTTTCAAAATGTAGTACGAGATTCCAGGCTGCCACTTACAGGTGAGTGTAATTGAAACTTTAAATAGTTGGGTTTTTTTCTTTTTTCAATGCATGTGAATTGATTAAGTTTGCCTTGAATAATAATAAGTATATTGTAGCCATAGAAAAAAGTTAATTCCTTATTAAAAACAGAAACAAAAACGTTGCCGCCGAGTCGATTCCAACTCATGGACTCCAGCACATCCTCCAGCTGCATGTGCAGCCCACTGGGTGTAAAACTGTCCGTTTCAGGCTCCTGGTCTGTTTTACCTCAGCTTCATTCTGTTGCTAAGTTGCAGAGAGCAAAGGGACAATCTGACACTGCTTCCTAGTGTCTACATTTGCCCTCCCCCAGAACAGATCCACCACGTTTGTCTGTGTGAACTTACTTCTGATTGAGCTTTTCCTCCCGTCTCCAGCAACTACAGTACACCTGTCCAGTTGTCTCCAGAGCCCCCAGCAGCCGGCTCCACCACTGCCAGGAAGTGGGTGTTGGTCTGTGCAGGCAGGTGTGTGCTTTTGCAGGGTTTGAGGACACCTGTTTCAAAGCCTGCTCAAACACACACTCAGACAGCCTAAGGATATATGGAATAGGATTCTTCTGGATCCATCGTCTGTTCCATAAAGATGCCGTGGGTTCCCTCTGGCTGTGGCTGAGCTCAGGGAAGACCCAGGAACGCTGTGCAGCAGAGATGGATGAGGGGTCTTGTCTGGGAGGCCTGAATATTACTTTGGCTGGCACATTTTGTCTTTCGGTTGTGATGGGTATTTTTTTGTCTTTGAAAAACAAAATCCATCTCTTCTTTTAACTGATAAACCAGAAAACCAAACCCATTTCTATCGAGTCGATTCCGACTCATAGCAACCCTATAGGACAGAGTAGAACTGCCCCACAGGGTTTCTAAGGCTGTAGTCTTTACAGAAGCCGACTGCCACATCTTTCTCCCGTGGAGCGGCTGGTAGGTTCGAACTGCCTACCTTTCAGTTAGCAGATGAGTGCTTAACCACTGTGCCACCAGGGCTCCTTTTTAACTGCTCAGGAGTTTGAAATGTTACTTTTGGTTCCAGTGAAGAGGTACTAAGAAAACCAAACACATCGCTGTCAATTCCAACTCCTGGTGGCCCCATGTGCTACCGAATAGAACTGTCCCATGGGGTTTTCTTGGCTGTAATCTTCATGGAAGCAGATCACCAGGCCTTCCTTTCGCAGCACCACTGGGTGGGTTCGAACCACCAGCCTTTAGTCAAGCGCAAACCATTTGCGCCACCCCGGGACTTCTAACGTCAATTCCTTACATAGTTCTTTAAAGTCTTATTTCTGACGACCCTGTGGAGCAGATTAGGACAAATTATTTATGTTTATGTGTGTGTACATAGATATTTGGAAACCCTGGTGGTGTGGTGGTTAAGAGCTACGGCTGTTAACCAAAAGGTAGGCAGTTCAAGTCCACCAGCCGCTGCTTGGAAACCTATTGGGCAGTCCTACTCTGTCCTACAGGGTCACTGTGAGTCAGAATCCACTTGACAGCAGCGGGTTTGGTTTTTCTGATATAGAGATATTTACATTTTTCTCTTGACTGGTATTTCTGGTGTACTGTTCCACTGTTTACCACTGTGGAAACTGGTAATTACTGGTAAAAACGTAATTACGAGGTTGTGTACAGGCCAGCGTAGGTAGCATGAAATGAAATAACAGGTGCCCATTTCTGTGCTAGAAAATGGGAAAAACGCCAGGGGCCGAAGGAAGGAGCAGACGTGCAGAACCCGGGTACAGAGTGAAGCAGCTAACAAGAAACAGTTACGTTGAAACCGTCGCCTAAAGCGATCCATGCGAAGGCAGAGAGGAGGAGAAGCCGACATCTAGAGGAGGTGAGGCCCGGGCTCGCAGCCACGCTGGTTCCCGGCTGCTCCGTGTGTTTGCTTTCTTGGGTGGGGAAGGGTTGGCAGTTACAAAAAGCCCAGTTCTCAGGACAGGCTTCCGTGTCCGTTTTTCATGGCTTAATTTCCTTGGCATCCCTGCGTCTTTGCCTACCTCCTGTTAAAGGTACCATGGAAAGAAAAAGTAGAGCTCGATGTTTGATGGCGATTGCGCTGTTGGCCGAGGATCTCAGGCCCTTTCTGGGTGGGGTTTAGCTGACTCCTGCCTGCCTGGCGTCCATGGAGGAAGTGTCGTGCAGAGGACTGGCGGGGGAGTGGAGCGCGGGCGGAAGCAGTAGTGTTCCACTGTTGCAGTAATCACAGCGAACATCGAACATCGAGAGAGCATTTGTTGCATGCTGGACCCCACCCTAAGTGCGGCTCCTCCTTGCGTTGAAGAAGGAGTGTGATGACAGTTGGAACCAGATTTGTCTGCCTGTCTGAACATGAAGGCCCGCGCGTAAGCAGAGTGGACGGGATCTGTGTTGAGAACAGAGGCCGGGCTTGGTCCCCTGATCCATAGGCCCTAAGGCCACCGTGAGCCACTGAGACTTGCCCAGCAAGGTGTCGCTCTCGAGCCCAGTTCTGTCCCCTAGGCCTTCCCAGGCTGGCTCTGGGCTAGGCCCGAGCTGGGCCCTGCACATGGGGTGGCCTGTTCCTTCTTGTCTCTTATCCCCTGGACAGTTTCTGCACGTGGAGTGCCCGCTTTTGGGTGAGCAAGAAGGAGGGGGTCAAGAATCACCCCTCAATCTCTGACTCATGTCGGGATGATAGGGTGCGGTTTGCCAAGCTTGGGTACCCTGGAGTGAGTCCAGGCGCGGGAGAGAGGACGTGAACTCCTTCCAGGGATGTTGTTTGAGGAGCAGGTGGGACAGTCAGACAGAGTCGTTATGTAGGCAGGTGGATACGTGTGGAACTCAGCAGAGTGTCCTGAGTTGGGTGTAGCACTCAGTGGGAATTACTGCATAACTGAAGTGACCGAATGAGATAAGATAGCTGAGAGTCGCTGACTGCTGCCCTTTGGACTTTGAGCTTGGGACCGCTCTTCCCTTTCACAGAAGAAAATGTGGCAGGAGTGATCGCATGTTGTGGAGGCATTTCAACAGTGCAATAGAAATATTGCTGGGCTGTGCATTAGCAAGGCTGCTGTAGTTGCAAATGGTAGGGTCCAGGGATATCAGGGCCTGGCCCCCTGTCGCGGCTCTGTGTGCCTCTCCCTGTCGGTGCCCAGTGGCCCTGCTGGATCCAGGCTGGGTTCTGCTGCTTGCAGGTCTGGCAGGGGAGCGGGAGGCCCTGCCTGCTCAGCATTCCAGAACTCCCAGGGACTCTGACCAGACCGGGTTGTATGCTCATCCTGGTGCTGTAGCTGGGGCTGGACTGCATGTGGGTTGGCTGGGCCTGGGTCTTGTGCCCACCCTCAGAGCCTGGGAGCAGGTTGGCCAGGCCTGCAGCACAGGACAGAGGACAGAGGAGGGCTGTGCCTGCTCGCCGAGGGGAAGGCAGGACGGCGGGCAGAGGGCAGTACAAACGCCAACGCAGGTAGAATCATGGAACACCTGGTCTGCTGGCTTTAGTTGGGGATTCCTTTGTTGGTGATTGGGAAGCAATTTTTATTATTGAATTTGTGATTAGAGTTTTCACACATCACTGAGTATTTCATGGTCGTCTTTGTGACCGGTGACTGAGGATACAGGCGCAGAATGATAAACGGAGCAAAGACTCAAGTGGTCAAGGATTTCATTTTACTTGGATCCACAGTTAACACCCGTGGAAGCAGCAGTCAGGAAATGAAACAAGTATTGCATTGGGCAAATCTGCTGCAAAAAACCTCTTTAAAGTATTAAAAAGCAAAGGTGTTATTTTGAGGACTAACGTGCACGTCACCCAAGCCATGGTATTTTCAGTTGCCTCGTATGCATGGGAAAACTGAACAATGAGTAAGGAAGACCAAAGAAGAATTGATGTGTCTGAATTATGGTGTTGGTAAAGAATATTGAATATACCATGGACTGTCAGAGGAATGAACAAATCTGTCTTGGAAGAAGTACAACCAGAATGCTCCTTGGAAGCAAGGATGGCAAGCCTTCATCTCACCTACTTTGGACATGTTGTCAGGAGGGACCAGTCCCTGGAGAAGGACATCATGCTTGGTAAAGTAGAGGGTCAGAGAAAAAGAGGAAGACCCTCAACGAGATAGACTGACACAGTGGCTGCAGCAATGGCCTCAAGCATAACAACAATTGTGAGGATGGTGCAGGACTGGGCAGTGTTTCGTTCTGTTGTACGTAGGGTCACTAGGAGTCAGAACTGACTCGAGGGCACCTAACAGCAACTCAGTTAGTCAGTGCAGACAGTTTGGACGTCACATCTTCGGGCATTTGTGGAGTTTACACAAAAACATTTCCAAATTGACCGCTTAGTTACCTAGTGTGCTATAATAGAAATACCACAGATGAGTGGCTTTAACAAACAAATGTATTTGCTCACAGTTCTGGAGGCTAGAGGTCTGAGTTCAGGGCTCTGACTCTAGGGGAAGGCGTTCTGTCTCTGTTGGCTCTGGAGGAACGGCCTTGTCTCGTTCAGTTTCTGTTCCTTGGTGATCTGCATGTGATGTGGCATTTACCTTTGCCCACCTCTGCTCACTTGCTTAACCTGCTCATTTATACAGTAAAACCTGCGAAAGCTGGAACCTGTGTGAGGTAAAAACCTGTCAGAGAAGGAAAACTCAAATATTTTCCACTAAAACGAATGATAGAAAAGTGGTGATATTGCACCCTGTCAAAAACAGAAAACTCACGAGATCCAGGAAAACAAGGCAGCCCCACTCACTGAGTTCCAGCTCTTACGTGTGGTCCCTGGCTTACACTGGGGCTCCTTTCTGACGGCTCCATCATAAGCAGGTTCTGACGTGAGTCGAATACCTCATTTTTTTCTCTTTTTTTAGTTTTTATAATTTTTATGTTTTATTATCAGTTTCTTTATAAGTCATAACATTGAACATCTGGGAGTGAACATCTGAGAATGATAACACCAGCAAATTACAGACTGCAACTTGTAATACATATTACTATTGATAAGATGTACCAAAAAAAGGTGGTTTTAAGTGCAATTCCTTGTAACTTGAACATGTCTTAAGTCAAGGACTACCTGTATCTCAAAAGAGATTGATTTCAGACACACTCTACAGTAATAAAAAAAAACAAACCCATTGCTGTCGAGTGGATTCTGACCATAGCGACCCTACAGGACAGAGTAGAACTGCCCCATATTGTCTCCAAGGAGCACCTGGTGGATTCGAACTGCCAACGTTTTGGTTAGCAGCCGTAGCTCTTAACCACTGCACCACCAGGTTTTCCCCCTGCAGTAATACTGCCTGATTAATATAACAAGAGAACCCAAGGCTGAGTAAGGATATTGTTGATGTGTTGTGAGATTGTTAACCATTGTCATAGGGCAGCATTTGTAGTAACTGTTAAATGAGAAACTATTTTGTTCTGTAAGCCTTCATCTTAAGTGAGAATAACAGCACAATTCGAAGAGTGTAGTCAATGTCACTGAACTGTGCATGTAGAAATTTTTGAAATGGTGTATCTTTGGCTATGTGTATTTTCACCAAAAAAAAAAAAAAAGAGGTTGAGAAGTTAGAGGGTTGATATGTTGTGGGGTTGTTAACCAATGTCATAAAATAACGTGTACTTCTGTTTCAAAAAATATATATATATAACAAGAAAGCCCATTCCCAAATGGGATCATAACCACAGGTATAGGGGTTAGGATTTACAGCACATGTTTTTGGGGGGACACAGTTCAACCCATAACAGTACTCTTCTGTTTTGTGCTTTGGTTTTACTTGGCAGTGAGTCTAGGATTTCTCTCCCATCTGCATGTTAGCTTGTTCTGTTTCCTCTCCTACAAGGCATCTGCTATATCTATTTTCTCTGAGTCCCTTCTCAGAAGGTGAAAGTTACCCAGGGCCAAAAGCAAGGACCCAGAGGCGACATCATTCCAGCTCACGTCGGCCCTCGACGCTGGTGCGACCTCGTGGAGATGAGGTTGCTTTCTGTAGATGTGTGGTAAAGGGGAGAGGGTGGTATACAGAAGCCCTTGAATCCCATTAATCTTTCCTGAAATGCTAGTGGGCCCTGGTGGCACACTGGTTAAGTGCTCGGCTGCTAACCCAAAGGTCAGTGGTTCGAACCCACTAGCCACTCTGTGGGAGAAAGATGTTGCAGTCTGCTTCTGTGAAGATTTACAGCCTTGGAAACCCTATGGGGCAGCTCTCCTCTGTCCCACAGGGTTGCTGTGAGTCAGAAGCGACTTGACAGCGACGGGTCTGGGCTTAAAAGGCTTGTACTAGCAGTACTTGATGGGAGACGCAGGTCTGATCACCCTCCACAGTCACTCGCTAATTCTCACCTGTGAAAGGAAGCAGGCGCAGGAGGCCACACCCCTCGCCCTCGGCCACTCACTCTGTAAGCGTGGGGTTGGATTCAGACCCCGGCAGTCTGTCTGTCCATGTTACCCGTCACTTAAGCAGTTACAGTGACACATGACTAAGAGGTTGTCGGGCGTTTCCCATTTTCCAGTTGATGATAAAAGAGGCCTTGGAACTGGTTTAAATTTTGACTCCCTAGGCTGGGGTGGTGATCCCCCCTGGTGTGAGAGAGAAGGGGAGAGGGCTTAAGGCAGGTGTCCAGGAAGAGACGTCCTGGGGTCCGTGGCGTCCTCGCTGCACACAGGTTGTTGGGGGTGCGGGGCAGCTGGCCTGGGTGCTGTGTGTTGGCTCTGTGTACCCAGCGTCTGGGTTCCTCCAGCGCAGCCCATGCCAGGCCTTTGGAAGCGCTCTCTCCTGCTCTCTTGGAAGGACTCAGGAGCCATTGTAAAGACACCTTTGCACCTCTCTAGGCTCGGGTGGGTATTGGAGCCTTAGCTAATTGGTAACAGTGATTTCACAGTAGTCATGTGATGCTAGGTCCCTGGGTGGTGCAAACGTTTCGCGCTTAGCTACTAACCTCAGTGTTAGAGGTTTGAACTCACCTAGCGGCACAGTGGAAGAAAGGCCTGGTGACCTACTTCATAAAGATTACAGCCAAGAAAACCCTATGGAGCAGTCCTACTCTGTACCACATGGGGTCGCCATGAGTCGGAATCGACTCTGAACGGCAACATGTTTGGTTTTGTGTTAGTATGACTGGAATCGACCCAAGTTTACGGAAGGACGTGCTTTCATTTTTCCCCATGAGATCGTGTCTGGTTTGAGGCCCACTTGCCAGAGCGGCTGCAAGTCCATCAAGGAGCTAAAGTGTTTTCCCTCTTAAGGCAGAGCAGCAGAAAACACCCCTACTCCGCCTGGCCCCCAGGAGAAGGGAGATGCTGGCCTTAGACGAGGTGGCCTTGATGGCTTTGTTGCCCTGGTGAGTGTCCAGGGCCCATGGGTCAGGCAGGCTGGGGAAGCCCCTGCCTTGGAGACTGTTGCCTTTATTGGCTGAGTCCCTCCCGTATGACCCATGTAATCCCTAGAGCAGCCCCGCACGGTGTCCCTCACTGTCCTCGCCCCAGGATGAAGAGGCCAGCAGCTTCTGCCTCACCCCGAGCCTGGGCTCTGACTCCTGCTCCTGCGGCCCCTTGTGCCGATGCTCGACTTGTGCTTAGGAGCCTCCCCGAGAAGGGCTCTGTCTCCTGCCTTCTGCACAGTCTGGTGCAGCCGAGTGGGGTTCCTTTGGCACCTCCGGCACCTCCCGCGCCTCCGCAGCCCAGAGCTCTCTGCCCTTGAGGGCTCCCCTCGGCCCCCTCAGCCCGTCTCACAGAGCCGTTTCTTGCTTCACATCTGCCCGTTGCCTCGTGCCGTTCCTGTGTTAACGTCACCCAGGGATGTCAACTCACCGGGTGTCGTCAGCATGAAGGATGTGCTGATAGTGGGTGTTCCTGTCCGGGGCTAGGCCTTCTTGTTCCATATCCAGATTGGTCAATTATCCGTGAATTAATCTGTCAATTTAATATCATCCCAGAAAAGTCTAGTTAGACTTTTGAAAAACTCATACTCATTCTAAGATTTATGATGAAAGATAAAAGCCCGCTAATAGATCTGTCCATTTTGGAAAAGAAGAGCAGAAGAGGGAGACCTACTGTAAAAATGGCATGGTGGCATAAGTTTCACGAGGGGGAGGAGAGAGAATCAAGATCAGCGTCAGCCAAAGGCTGACTCTTGTCAGGTGGAGGTCAGACATGCCTCCTTTCTCCAACCTTTTTGCCATTTCTGACACCAGCTGTCCTTCCCATGGCACTCTCTAGTCCTCTGTTGGATTCAGTAATTTGTTCCAGTGGCCACACAGAACTCATAGCCCATATGCACAATTATAGGGTTTATTAGAGAAGTAACAGGTTACAATTCAGGATCAGGAACAACTCAGGATACAATTCTTCTATCAGGACAACTTCTCGGCCGTGTCCACAGGCACGCTTCTCCCTTAGCCCCTCGGCCCATGGCCTGGCCTCTTCCCTGCTCGGACAAGTGTTACAAAGCTCTTTAGCTCCTCCAATAAATGCCTGGAGTCACCTCACTTCGCCAGCAAGCCTCCTGCCCAAAGGTGCTCATCTCTCTCGCTCCGCGGGTTGGCACGCCCAGTGTAGCTGCCTTGCTCCATGGCCCGGAAAGTCCACTGTGCCAGTCTCCTGGTTCTGCTGCTGCCGTTTCTCTGCCACTGGGTTCTGCCAAGCTTGCCGCCGCTTCTAGTTGTCTCCCGCCATCTCCGGTGTAGCAGCTCTCTCTGTGTTCTGGGTCTAGGAGGTTCTCAGCACAGGGACCCTGGGTCCAAAGGACGTGCTCCACTCCCAGCTCTTCTTGATGATAGTGAGGTCCCCCCTCTGCTCTGGAATTGGCTTTCTTTTTTTAAGCTTGGCAGGATGACAGATCTGATTTGCATTAGCAGACTATTTGATCCCCCCACATATGCCTTATTTGCATTGTCCCACCCAGTTGTTGTGTGGGACTTGTAAGACCATGCATGGCTAAAAAGACCATATTAATAATTCACTGTACCGCACACACCACTAAGTTATAGTAATAAAACAGTGTGATATGGGTACAAGCACAGGCAAATAAAACAATCAGAAGTTTCTGCCTTAATGTTGTCTTTTCTTTTTTTTAATAATTTATTTTTTGTTGTTGTTGAGAATATCTACAGTAGAACGTACACCAATTCAACAGTTTCTACACATACAGTTCCGTGACATTGATTACATTCTTCAGGTTGTGTGACCGTTCTCCCCCCCTTTCCCGAATCGTTCTTCCCCATTAACATAAACTCACTGCCCCAAGTTTTCTGTGTAATCTTTCGAGTTGCTGTTGTCAGTTTGGTCCCTTTTAGATAGATATTAAAAGAACAGGATGCTTAAGGCTGACATTCTTTGAGTTAAGCTAAATTATTGTTTGGTTTTAGACTTCAGGGGATATTTTTGGTTTAAGGTTTAAAGATTGCCTCAGGGCAATAGTTTCAGGGATTTATCCAGCTCCCATGGCTCCAGAAAGTCTGGATTCCATGAGAATTTGAAATGTTCTGCATTTTACCCCCTTTGATCAAACTGTTCAGTAGTGATAGCCAGACACCATCCAGTTCTTCTGGTCTTATGGCAAAGGAGGCAATCATTTGTGGAGGCAGTTAGCTACACCTCCCATGTCTTCCTCCTATTCTGGACTCTCCTTCCTTTGTTGTTCCAGGCAAATAGAGACCAATTGTTGTGCCTTGGATGGCTGCTTGCAAGCTTTTAAGACCCCAGGCACTATGCAGTGAAATATGATACTAGGCCACTTAGCTGGGATGTTCCATGAAACCAGGACCCTAACCCTCCAAGCCAAGAAACCAGATCCCATGAGGTGTTCGGTTGTACATAAGCAGTCTCAGCAGCTGCTCTTGTTATGGTTGTAAATAGATCTGTCACACAGCTTTTGCTGGTTCAGTTTTTTACAGGCGTACAACTTACTGCCAACATTTACATTAATTGGCTGTGGCACTCTGCCGTTAATGCCATTTTTCCCTCATTGTAAACTGAAACTCATTGCTCCGAAAGCAGTAACTCCCCCCTTTTCCCACTCCATCAATAAACTTTGGTCTTTATACATTTGCCTGTTTTTGTCTTTTTATATAAGGGAGGTCATACAATGTTTGTCCTTTTGTGATTGACTTATTTCACTCAGCATGATATCTTCAGGCTCCATCCATGTTGTAGCATGTGTGAAGATTTCGTTTCTCTTTATGACTGAGTAGTAGTCCATTGTATGTATGTGCCGCGTTTTGTATGTACCACGTCCATTCATCTGTCGGTCGGCATTGAGGTTGCTTCCACCATTTCGCTACTGTGAATAGTGCCGCAGTGAACACTGGTGTCCGTCCGTCCGTTCGCGGTGCTGCTCTGAAGTCCCTTGGGTATATTGCCAGCAGTGGAATTGCTGGGTCATATGGTGGTTCTATTTTTAGTTTTTTGAGGAACTGTCACACTGTTTTCCACAACAGCTGTACCATCATGTTTTATTTTCTGTGAAAGTTTTAGAGGATCGTTGCTGGCTTAGAGGAACACTTGATTTTCGTAAGTGCATTTAAATTTGACAACTTTGCGTGTCTTCGTTCTGATAGTTTGTTGATTCTGATGGGTTTTCACGTAGGTGGTGATATCATCTTCAGACAATGCCAGTCTTATTACTTCCTCCCCATCTTGCCCCTCTTCGTTGCCTTTTCTGGATGTGTAGTACTGGCCAGGCCCCCAGAACATTCCTGCCTTTGTACCTAATGGAAATGCATCCAGGTTTCTGCTTTAAGTGGTTTGCGTCTCTGTTCCTTGTTTTGTTTGTTTGTTTATTATTAGTGTTAGATAGTGGCCTGGATGTGCCCTGTGATGTTTACAGTGGTGTTGAAGGCTGCTGAATGAGGGTGGCTGGTTGGCCAGTCCCCACCGCCCCTGCTGTCCTCCCTGCTTGCCCCATTCACTCACATCATCGACCTGCCTCCCTTAGGCAGGTTGGAGGTTTGAGTCCACCCAGAGGCACCTCAGAAGAAAGGCCTGGCAGTCTACTTCTAAAAAATCGGCCATTGAAAACCCCATGGAGCACAGTTCTACTCTGACACGCAGGGGGGCGCCGTGAGTCGGAGTCGACTTAAGGCAACTCGTTGCTGGTGCACCCTGGATGGACTTTATTTTAACTTGATTCACAGTAAACCTTAATCTCTGATGAAGCACATCAGCATATTTGAGATATTAATCAGTTTGTGTTTTTCTCTTGCAGAAGCCAAAGATGTTGACCAGAAAGATTAAACTGTGGGACATAAATGCCCACATCACGTGCCGCCTGTGTAGTGGCTATCTCATCGACGCGACCACAGTCACCGAGTGCCTGCACACCTGTAGGTGCACAAGATACCGTGCATTGCTCTCGTACACATGTTGGTGCTTCGTGTGTTTGATGGTGTCTAGCTGTGTGCTGTTCACTGTTTGGCTTTTTTTTTCTTTTTTTTTTTTTTGACCAAAAGTTTGTAACTCAAGCTCAAAGAATAGCAGGATACAGGAACAGGAATAAAGACGATAAGTTGAAAAAACTGTTTCAAATAAAAAATACTGTGGGTAATTTCAGTCAAAATAAGATCTGATCACCTAAGAAAGCTAAACACAGGAAAAATTTCGTTATTTCGATATAAACAGCTAAATCAGTAACTGTCTTAACAGAATGTTCATTTCTAGTAGGCAGAAATGCCTATTTTTTAAAAATGTCCAAATAAAGGCCTTAACTGTTTTAACCCAAACCAAAAACTCACTGCTGTCGAGTTGATTCCGACTCACAGTGACCCTATAGACAGAGTAGAGCTGCTGCATTGGGTTTCCAAGACTGAAATCTTTACAGATGCAGACTGCCACATCTTTGTCCGTTGGAGTGGCTAGGGATTCAAACAACTGACCTTTCGATTTGCAGCCGAGTACTTAACAACCCCTGTGCCACCGGGTGCCTCTAAATGTTTTAAACAGGTGCTTAATTCTTGGAATGTTTTAAGCAGCATTTAAAATGCTGGCTCTGCTCTGGTGGCACAGTGATTAAGTGCTCGGCTGCTAACCAAAAGGTCAGCAGTTTGAACCCACTAGCCGCTCCATGGGCGAAAGATGTGGCAGTCTGCTTCCCTAAAGATTACAGCCTGGGAAACCTTATGAGGTAGTTCTCTTCTGTCCTGTAGGGTCACTTTGAGTTGGAATCGACTTGACAGCAATGGGTTTTTGCTTTTTTTTTGCTGGGTGGCAGCCATGCTCCCAAAGCACCAGCCCCAAAGTCTGCTTCCGGCCCCCAGCCTCGGTGCTGATGGTTAGAAGACTCTTAGCTGCTGCTGAGCCTGGTTTTCTTCTTTCTTGAGTACCACCTCAACAGAAAAGTCAGTGTTACTGTTTACCTATGAAGCTTGAGCACCTGGGGATAGTGGGGTGATTGGAAATGCCCGGCAAGTGCTGAGGGACGCATACCTCAATGACATCTTTAAAGTCTAGTGAGCACATAACACATCGCTGATTCTCGGTCGTGGATTTTTCACTTTAGAAAGTAAAATATTTGCCAGTTTCGATAGAATTTTGAAAGCTAATTGTATTTTTCGATATTGACAGGGATCATTTTATGTTACATTATTTTCATTGAATCTGGTGTAGTTTTATTTTTCAAGGAAAATACCGTGATCCTTTAGGTGAACTTAGTTCTAATATTTTTTAAAATTAACCTGTACGGTTAGAACATTCAGTGAGAATTGGAAAGCACAGTCCGACGGTCTCACAGCTTGACCTCTCCGTCCGGTGATTCTCACCTCACTTTAATTTTTTCTTCCTACTTAATTCGTAAAGGAGTCCCTGGGTGGCGCAAGCAGTTAAGCACTCGACTACTAGCCAAAAGGTTGGCGGTTTGAGCCCACCCACAGGCGCTTTGGAAGACAAGCCTGGCAGTCTGCTTCCAAAAGGTCACAGCTTTGAAAACCCTGTGGAGCGCAGTTCTCTGCACACATGGGGTCGCCGTGAGTCGGAATCGACTCGACAGCAGTTAACAACAACTTAATTCTCCAGCCCCAAATCTGTGGAGTAAGGTGGTTGGTTGTAACATTAACACCTCTCCAGTGTTCACTAAGACCTGAGGGGCAGGATGCTGTCTTTGAGAAGCCCAGAGGCATTAAGAGTCGTCTTAAAGTGTACGTCTGAAAAGTGACCATTTGATTACTCTAGAAACGTCTGTCTGAGCGCATGGTGTCAGTGGGCACCCTGAATTCTGGATTTCACTTTGCTAACGTGAGTGTCCTTTTGAAAACAGTCTGCAGGAGCTGCCTGGTGAAGTATCTGGAAGAAAATAACACTTGTCCTACGTGTAGAATTGTCATCCACCAGAGCCACCCTCTGCAGTACATTGGGTAAGTCTCCTCAGGGCACCGCGTGTGGGAGAACGTTCCTCAACTCTCACGGCTTCGTGTCCCAGTCCTCTGGGGTCGGTTAAATGCTGGTGGCTGAGGCCACCATGGCGGCTTGCACAGGGACGGGGCCGGGTCCCACTCTGCCCACGAGCCCACCTGCCTGTCAGCCCTGGACACCTGACCGTGGGCTGCAGGGCGTGCTCTGGTGTATCCCCAGCCACACTGACTCCAATTAAGTAGTTTGAGAAGCCTCAAGACCACATTGGAATTTCACTAGTTTGTAACTAAATTGGCTGAAGTTGCATTGAAAGTGGAAGGCCAGCGCTTGGGCCTGCCTCCTACTGGGGACTCAGTCGTCCCTGCCCCACTGGTCCCTGCATAGGGTCCTGGTTTCTGCCTCCCTGGGTCTCAGGGAGATGAGAGAGGCCCTGAAGAGATGCCACGGCCTCCACCCGCCTTAGAGCCAGCTACCATTTCTCAGACATCAGAGGTCAGCCTGGCTCTGCCCCTGGTGTGGCAGTCTGGGGGGGTCGGGCCACTCCTGGACATGCCAGGGACCCGAGCCCCTCAGAGTGTGGGGGTTTGGGCTACGTGGGGACTGTGGTTTTTAATGCCTGTTTTCAGATTTGGAGGAGTTGCTGTAAAGGAAATGGAATGACTCCCAGACCTTGTGAGAATAGCAGAGATGAGTCTGGAGACAGCTTTGGGGGAAGAGAGGTGTATGTGGTTTTTTTTTTACATTTAAAACTGAAATAAGTCATGCACAGGAAAGAGCACACACACACAGGCCCGGCATGAAGCTTCGGGAAGTCAGACACCTCCCGGGCTAAGAGGTAGAACCCTGCTAGGATCTGGAACCCGCCCCCACATGCCCCAGAAGACCCCCCTCTGGACGTCACTTTTCTTACGGTGCCACCAGCTTAGTCTGCTCCTGTAACTTTCTTTCCTAGGGGCCGTGCTGTGTTCGGTGTGATTTCCTCCTTGGACTCAGCTGTGTCCAGCCATGCCCATGTGCTGGTAGTAGCTGTGGTTCACAGCCTTCTGCCAGGAGAAGGGGCCGCAGTCTGCCCTGCGCTGTGTTCCTGGGCACAGCTCGGTGGCGTCCAGTTGCGGCTGTCAGTGCCTGGCACTGCTCTGAGTATTCTGGGTGTGTCTCCAGGAGCCACACCTGTACATGTGGAAGAGCCTGTCCACGGCTATAGCCAGGACTGGAATGTCTGGGTTCTAGAAAGCGTGTCTTCCTACCGCTTTGCCACATGGTTGGAGCCGTTTTCACTACCCCCAGCATTGTTTGTGAGTTCCTGTCACTTTCCATTCTTGCCAATATTGGCATTGCCAGATCTTAGTGCTCGCCAATATGGCGGCCCTGTCATGGTGTCTCATGCCATTCCCTGAGATTTTCTGAGCTCGACCGAGCATCTTCCCCAAATGTTAACTGGCTGTTTGGGCTTCTGTCGTGAGATGCTGCTCATGCCTTGTGTCATTTTTCTGTCGGGCTCCTTGTTTAATTTGCTCTACTTCGAAGGAGTTCTTTACATGTTCTGGATCCCACCCATTGTCCAGATTTTCTGTCTTCGGATGTTGTCCTGCAGAGCTGAAGGGAAGGACTTGGCAGGATGAGCTGCCAGGAGTGGGAGGTGGGAGGAACCTTCGTGCTGAGTATGTGGCTGAGCTTGGGAAGCCTGCGTTTGCCACCGAAGCTGCTGGGATGCTGCACCTTCTCCCTGAGAGTGCAGACGTCCAGCCTGCCCCCTGTGCTGTGGTGGGAGGAGGGCCAGCTGGGGAACTGGGTGCTCATTCAGGTGTCTGGGGCCTTCGTGGTCCAGGCCAAGGCCAGTGTGGTCGCCTCAAAGCATTGGATAGGAGGGCAGCTGAAGGGGGTGTAGAGCAGAAGGGATAGAGCCGGCAGGGGGCCAGTCAGGTTCACGTGAGTTTAGAGATCTGCAACTGGTCAGGGGAGGCCAGCCCTACCTCTGAGCTGGGCTGTGCCCATAACTCTTCTCAGCAGAGAAGAGGCCAATCCTGGGTGACGAGGCCGTGGGGAGCCCAATGGCAGAAGAGCCGGGGGAACAGCTCCACCCCATGGCCCTCAGCCTCTGGGGCGGCCTCTTTTCTAGTAATCCTTTCCCTCTTCTTCCTCACTTGCTGGTTTCCAGGCTTCCCCTGAACCACCCTGACACCAGCCTTCGCAGCTCTGACCAGGCTGGTCATTGGGTTTTACCTTGTTCAGACCTTGTGTTGGCAAAGGGCTCTCTTTGTTCTTGACACTGCCTCCCCCAGCCGTCCTGCTCCCTGTCCTTTGCTTTGATTCTGTATCCCCAGCCTGTGGGCACCACAGGGACAGGGCCTCTGGCTTCTGGGTGGGTGTGTGTGGGGTGAAGCCTAGTGTGGGGCAGGACGGAGGCCCTGCCGTGGTCTCACTCGCTTGGCCATTTTCTTTCTGGGACTTCGCAGGTGGCCTGTGCTGAGCATCACGGCGTTCTGATTCTGCTCTGAGTCTCGCTCGGGCAGCGTGCCTGTGTCGGGCGTGTGGGCGAGGAGACCCTGGCTTCAGTACCCTCTCTGTCACCATGTGCTGTTGCCATTTGGGTCTTGGTGGAGACCTCAGGATGAGTGAAGAGGGGAGACACAGTGAACAGATTTTAGTGTGGAGAGGTCAACCCTGAAAGCTGCAGACGAGAAGCCTCTGGTGCAGAGGATACCACGCTGCAGGCGTGAGTGGGGCTTGATGTTCATAGAAAGGCGCGTGCTGCTCTGTCCTGTGCACTCGGCTCAGTAACAAGGTGCCACCCCGAGAGGGCCTTCTCTGAGGGTAGGCTCCTGGTGCCCTTCTCTCCCCAGCCGCCCACTTTGCGGCCTCTCCCCGCTCCGGGCTCCTGGGTGCCAGGACACGTGAGCAGAGCCAGGCTTGGTTCTCAGGAGACTCGGCTGGCTGCTCACTGGTGGGCCCGGTAGACAGTGCTGTTCCCCTGGTGGCCTGGGGCAAGCTTTGTAGAAAGCCGGGATGGGGATGGAATGGGAGATGTCAAAGGGCATCCCAGGTAATAGGTCAATCGTGGTTTGTAGTGCTTCCGTGTGCGCGGGCGTATGTATGTGGTGGTGAATGTTTATGTGTGTGTGTGTGTATATGTTTGTGTGTGCTTTGTGTATCTATATGTGTATCTGTATGTGTGTATGTACTGTGGTTGTGTACGTGTGTGTGTATGTGTGTATATCTGTACGTGTCTGTGAGCATGCATGGGTATGGGTATGAGTGTGTATGTGTGTGTGGGTATGTGCATGTGTGGATGTGTGTGTGTGTGACCCACACATACCCATCAATACAAACGGCCCAGGTCATAATGGAAAATGCAGTTCTCGGTGTGGATCGTGGTCAGAGAAGCTTGAGAAGCGCGGCTTTCGTCTGCCACAGCGCAGAGTGGGGTCGGGGAGGCTTCTCCTGAACTGTCCCTGGAAACGTTCAATGCGTGATGTCTTTCAGCACATGACAAGTCCTTGGAAATACTGACTTCTCCACAGGCCTGTGTCACGCACGGTCTGCCTAACGGTGGCCCACGAGTGCTGCTGCGGGCCCGGCCGTGGGCTCGGCCCTGACGGCTAGGTTCCTGCAAATTCTGGGGACCCTCATCGCTTGCCAGCCATTTACATGGCACCAGTTCAGGCCCACAAGAGTTGTCTTTTTAATGAATGATTTTTGAAAATCAAAATTGATTTAAAAATTAAGAAAACTCTCCAACACTTTTTACCCCCACAAAGAAAACAGTTACTCAAAGATAATTGTGATTGATGTTTAAAAGTCACAAGCTGGAGTAAGAAATATGTTTGAAAACCTAGACTTTTGTAACCTTTTCAGAAAACTTGTATAAATAGATCATAAAGACCACAAGAAGGACCTGATGTTACAAACTTTTCTCTCAATTACTTGGAAACATAAAAAAAAGTTTTCCGTCCAGTGGAAGCCCAGGGGTGTGTCCAAGCCACGTGGTGCCACACCTGAGGGCGCCATCTTTGTTCGCGCCGGCTGTCACAGGAGAGAGGGCTCTGACCTTCTTTTCTGCCGTTATTACAACGTGTTTGTACCCATCGAGAATCTAAATTAAATGACGTGTTAATTTAGGCCCTGTGTCACATTTGACAGTACAAACGTTTTTTTCAAGGGCAAACTGGCAGTAAATAAAATTCAACCGAAACTCCAGATTCGGGCTTCTGGAGTTTTGATGTTGTTAAATGGAAGATGTACCAGAATTATAGAACTGACACTTGTAGCTAATTCCCTCTTCTGTTCTTTTGCAGCCATGACAGAACCATGCAAGATATTGTTTACAAACTGGTACCAGGCCTCCAGGAAGGTGAGTCTCTATATGTCTTCTTCGACCCCGAGGTTCACAGCACAGCCTCGGCCAGCTCATCTTTTCACAGGAGTCTCAGTTCTCTGACCAGCTCCTCGCTTCTTTTGGTGGTATCACCATCTTGCCTCTCCTTACTCTAAACTCCACGAATCCCTGGGTGACACCAACGGTTAAGCACACAACTGCTAGCTGAAAGGCTGGCCGTTCGAGCCCACCCAGAGGCACCTTGGAAAACAGGCCTGGCGATCTGCTTCTGAAAGGTCACAGCCTTGAACACCCTATGGAGCATTCTACTCTGCACCCTTGGGGTCACCATGAGTTGGAATCGACTTAACGGCAGCTAACAGCAATAACTCTCAACTCGATTGCATCTTATTTGCTGGTTTCTTCCGTTGTCTTTCTAGAACATACAGATTTTTATTATTTTTTCAACAAGTTTTGATTGCATGTTTCTTGCCAGTCCTTGTTCGGGCATCAGGGTGTGGTGGTCAGCGGTGGAGGCCTCCCCTGTTGTGCAGTAGGGCTGCATGGGCACCAGGAGGCCTGGGCTGGATGGGGAGAGTGCCTCTGGGTCCTGTCCACACCCTCTAGACCCTACTTCCTTCCCTCCCCACAGCAACACCCTTACCTCCGTCACAGAAGGAGCAGAGGCAGCGTGGCAGATAAGCCTCAGCGAGCATAGCCTGAATGTTTCAGAAACAGTCGACGTGCGTTAAATCTTAGATCTCGCTTAGAATGAAAACCATATTACTTAGTACAAATACCTGAAAACCAAACCCACTGCCGTTGAGTCGATCACAACTCACAGTGGCCCTATGGGACAGAATAGAACTGCCCCATAAGGCTTCCGAGGCTGTAACGTTTACGGAAGCAGACTGCCACATCTTTCTCCTACAGAGCAGCTGGTGGGTTCGAACAGCAGACCTTTCGGTTAGCAGCTGAGCATTTTAACCACTGCCCCACCAGGGCTCCTTACCCTGAAAACAGAAATACATTATTTAGGAATTGTGTTTAAGTTTTTCCCCAGTTCTGAATGCTGAAACTGTTACTCCTGTTCTCTGTGTGCGGGTGGTGATGGGGAAGGGAGGCCAGGAAGGGCCGTCGCCGTAGGGTTCAGGTTTGGGTCAGGATTGGGGGCTGGCACGTTGGCCATCCCTGCTGATAAAACTTAGATACGTTTTCTTTCAAACATACGATATGGGAAGAATTCCTTTGGGCTGTGTTTTCTCACTCTGACATTTCAGAATAGGGTTATAATTTAAAAATAGAGTTTAATACGTTAGATCAGGAGATGTATCTGGCCTTTCATACCTACCTTAGGGAGTAAGATTTTTTGTTTGTTTGTTTGTTTTTGCTGTTTACAAAATTCATACATGAAGAGTTTAGATTTCCTGAGTACGTAGAAACTGATAGAAACAGCCAGCCTTTTGATACCCGAAAGGTGGGTTTAAGACGGACAGCACGGATCTTTAGTCCTGGGAAAAGGCAAAGAATTAAAAAAATTTTTTTAATTACAGAATATTTTAAACATATAAAAATAGAATCATGTAAAGAAAGCCCACGTGTTCATTACCCAGCTTCAGTAGCTAGCAACTGACAGTCAATCTTGTTCCATCCACTATGCCCGCTCCCACTACCCACTTCATATGACTTCATCTGTAAATATTTCCACACTTATCCCAAAAGGAAAAGGATTCGTTTTTCAAAAAACCACAATACCAAATATTAAATAGACAATAGATAAGTGGTATCTTGGGTGAAGGGTGAGACAATACACAGTACAGGAGAAACTAGCACAACTTGTACAAGGAAAGGTCATAGAAGCCCCATAGACACATCCAAACTCCCTGAGGGACTGAATTGCTGGGCGGAGGGCTCTGGGGACCATGGTCTCGGGGAACATCTAGCTCAATTGGCATGACACAGCTTATAAAGACAATGCTCTACATTCTACCTTGGTGAGTAGTGTCTGGGGTCTTAAAAGCCTGTGAGCGGCCATCTAAGATACTCCACTGGTCTCATCCTTTCGGGAGCAAGGGAGAATAAAGAGAACAGGATACAAGGAAAAGATTAGTCTGAAGAACTAATTGTCCACAGCTACCAAGGCCTCCACCGGACTGAGTCCAGTACAGCTAGATGGTGCCCGGCTACCACCACTGACTGCTCTGACCAGGATCACAACAGAGGGTTCTGGACAGAGCTGGAGAAGGATGTAGAGCATAATTCTAACTCACAAAAAAAAGACCAGATTTACTGGCCTCAAGGAGACTGGAGAAACCTCGAGAGTATGGCCCCCAGACACCCTTTTAGCTCAGTGGTGAAGTTACCTCTGAAGTTCACTGTTCAGCCTGGGAGTGGACAGCCCCGTAAAACCAAATGAGACTAACGAGGTACAGGAGTCCAGTGACAAGGGCCAGAAGGCAGAAGGGGACAAGGAAGCTGGTGATAGGGAACCCAAGGCTGAGTAAGGATATTGTTGATGTGTTGTGAGATTGTTAACCATTGTCATAGGGCAACATTTGTAGTAACTGTCAAATGAGAAACCATTTTGTTCTGTAAGCCTTCATCTTAAGTGAGAATAACAGCACAATTCGAAGAGCGTAGTCAATGTCACTGAACTGTGCATGTAGAAATCTTTGAAATGGTGTATCTTTGGCTATGTGTATTTTCACAAAAAAAAAAAAGGTTGAGAAGTTAGAGGGTTGATATGTTGTGGGGTTGTTAACCAGTGTCATAAAACAACATGTGTACTTCTGTTTCATGAGAAACTATTTGTTCTGTAAGCCTTCACCTGAAGTACAATTAAAAAAAAAAAAAACACAATACCTTTTTTTTAAATTTTTTTTTATTGTACTTTAAATGAAGGTTTACCGAACAAACTAAGCTTCTCATTAAACAATTAATACACGTATTGTTTTGTGACATTGATTGCCAAGCCCACAACATGTCAGCATTCTCCCTTCTCGACCTTAGGTTCCCCCTTACCAGCTCTCCTGTCCCCTCCTGCCTTGTCGTCCTTGTCCCTGGACTGATGTGCCTGTTTAGTCTTGTTTTGTTTTATGGGCCTGTCTAATCTTGGCTTAAGGGTAAAACCTCAGGAGTGACTGAGCTAAAAGGGTGTCTGGAGGCCATACTCTTGGGGTTTCTCCAGTCTCTGTCAGACCAGTAAGTCTGGTCTTTTTTGTGTGTGAGTTAGAATTTTGTTCTATATTTTTCTCCAGCTCTGTCTGGGACCCTTTATTGTGATCCCTGTCAGGTTAGTCGGTGGTGGTAGCCAGGTACCATCTAGTGCTGGACTCAGTCTGGTGGAGGCTGTGGTAGTTGAAAAACCACAATACCTTTTAACATCTAAAAAATAATAGCAATTCCTTAATACCCAGTTAATGTTGGAATTTCCAGTTGTCTCAAAATGCCATGGTTTTGTTATGTTTTGTTTAATTCAGGATCCAAATACGGCCCACACTTGGGGTCACTGATGTGTCCCCTAAGTCTCCCTGGGTTTCCCTTTTCCCGGTGTGTCTGTCCTGTCGAGTCCCCAGGTCTGGATTTGCTGATGGCATCCCTGTGGCGTCCTCTGTGTTTCCTGTAAACTGGTAAAATTGGCAGTTGGATCCGGAGGCTTGGTCTGATTCTGGTTGGTGTTTTTGGCAAGCCCACTTCACAGTAGAGGTGTGCTCTTCCTTCCGGAGGCAGATATCATGTGATTGTCTCTGTGTGTCCTGTTGGCAGCCTTGACAATCAGGAGTTCGTTGGAGGTAGTGAAATAGTGCTCTTCCAATCCTGTGCTTCCTTCATGGTGGACTACTTCCATGAAGACACTTCACTGTTGGGTTTCCCTGAGGTTCCATTTGTGTAGGAAAGGCAGGACAGATATGTAAGTCTTTCCCTTTGTTTTCAAGATACCGAGTCGGTTTATTAGCGCTCTCCAACCTTCTCTGTTAGGTGGATTTAATCACAATTTGTGTTTTCAACTGATTGCCGCTATTACCCTTTTTTTAAGTTCAAATTATCTGATTACTGGCCAGCGAGCCCCTCTTCATGTTGACTTCTGAATGGCTTTGACACAACCCCCGTAGTCTCAGATAGATACCCTGCTTTCTGGCCTAGCAAGGTATCCCAGGCTGAGGTGGTGTGTTTCCTGCCCAGGTGTGGAACCAGCCATTTCCCCACAGCCCAGGTTTCTGTTAGTGGGCCTGTTATTCAAGAGGAACACTTTGGTGCTTGGGTGCTCACAGACACCTTTCTTTTTCTTTTTTTTTTTTTCTTTTAGCCTTTCCTTCTTATGATTTCCTTTATTTTTTTCTAAATTTTATTTTGTTATTGTTGAGAATATATACGCAACAGAACATACACTAATTCAACAGTTTCTACATGTACTATGTAGTGATGTTGATTACATTCTTCGACTGATCCCTTTCTTCCTTTTTTCTTCAAATTTTGCATTAGGTGAAAGTTTCCAGCGCAAATTAGATTCCCATTCGATAGTTTGTACATGAAGTGATTCATGGCCGTGGCTGCATTCCCTGCAGTGTGTGAGCACTCTCCCTGTTTCCGCCCTGGGTTCCCCGTTTCCTTTCGTCCTGATTTTCTACCCCTCCCTGCCTTCTCATCTTTGCTTTTGGGCACATATTACCCTTTTGATCACTTATAATTGATTGCTCCAAGGAGCACGTTCTTCTCGAGTGTCATTGTTTATTTTATGGGCTTGTCTGTTATTTGCCTGGAAGGTGGTCTCCGGAAACAGCTTCAGTTCCAGGTCAGAAGGGTGTCTTAGGGCCATAATCTTGGGGGTTGCTCCATTCTCTGTCAGACCAGTAAGTCTGGGCTTTTTTGTGAATTTGATCTTTATCCTGCATTTTTTCTCCCACTCTGTCTGGGAACCTCCGTCGTGATCCCAGTCAGAGCAGTTGGTAGTGGTGGCCGGGCACCATCTAGTGTGGTACCTTTCTTAATAGAGCTTTTGCTGGTGAAGAAATAGTGAAGGTATAGAGGTTATACTC